GTGGTAGAAGGGTGGCTGAGGGAGGTGGGGCTGAGAGCAGGACAATGGGTCACAGAGGCACATCTGGGTTGGCATCAATAAATTATAAAAGCTTGTCAGCAGATGAATGGCATTACCTCAGCATGGACCAAGAACCAGGCATTAACTTTTAATGAACGGCAGCCGGGGGAAGCAGAACATGCGAGAACAGGGCGGCTGAAGTCGGAGATGAAGACCTGGCAGTGCTTGGTTGCCCGGAGGAGAGCTCTGCAGCCCCTAGTGCAGGATCTGGCCCCCAGCCTGCTGTGGGGATGATGCATGGTGTGCTCTCCTGGCTCCACCACTCTGCACTACCTCCCCCTGAACTGCTCCAGTGCAAAATCCGACTCCATGGGCTGCACTCATCATGCCAGCAAGTACGCACAGCTCAAACCAGAGCCCCTGGTTGTTCAGATCCTCCTCCTGCATTTAATTTAATGAAAACTAATGTGGCAGACAATTATCCCTAAGGTTGGGCTCAGGAGACATTTAGAGGAGGGAATTTGGCAGTTTCTCATGGCGCTGTTTAATAAAATTAGCCTGTAACCCAGTAAGAACCAAGGGGAAGGGCTTTCCTAAGCCCCACAATGAACGCAGCAGGCAGCGATGTGCCCGCTTGCTCTGGGCAGCTGAGCCGTGCCTGGCTGGGCAGCGTGGCCAGGGATGGCCCCAGGGAGGCAGGAGGTCCTCATCAGTGTCAACTAATTACCCTTGGGGGTCACATTTCCAAATGATGGGCAAGTCTTGCATGCTACTTTCTACAAAGCACAGAGGGAAGTGATTGCCTGGACCAAAAACCACGGTGGGCCATGGCTGTGGGCCCTGCTCAAGGACATCTGTGGCGTTAACCCAGAGGCAAACCTGCACAGGTAGCAAAGGGTGTGAACACACACTGCTCCTCAGACCCACCATTAATTACATGCTAATGGCTCTGCAGGCACGATGATTTTTCTGGGTGGTTCCCAAACCCAGCAGACATCCAATGCATTGCCTCTCGCTCCTCTGCTTGAGGAGCATCCGTGGCTGCATGGCTGGAAGTGCCGCAGTGACACGGCTGTGGGTGCTGGGTGGGAGAGTCCCCCAGGACTGGCAGAGCTCCAGGATGGCTTGCAGCCCCCCAAGCCCACAGCCCATGCTTGAACGTTCCCTCAAGGTGGGAGAGAGGCTGCACAATCACTGCCAGCTCTGTCCTGCCTGAACTAGTCAAAGGCAGAGAACAATGCTCAGACAGCAGCTCCTGGGAGTGTTTCAGGCACCCAGCACTTGCAACCAACCATCTAAAGACCTAAAAACCCCCAGTATTTCCTCAAGTGCTGCAGCAGCATTTAATGCTGCCTGCCGGGGAACCAGGTCAGCCTCTCCCAGGTTTCTCCACCTCCAGCAGCCAGCTCAGAGCCTGGAGCCAAGTTAGATCCTGCACTGGTGCACACACCCACCCTGCACTGCAGCCAGCCCTTGCCCAAGGAGGGGTCAGCAGACCCCCATTGCAAGCCTGTACATGTGCGTATATGTATTTTTGTAGGTGACACTTGCACCCCTTCCCCTCCCTTGCTTACCTCCTCCCAGCAGTGCAGGACTCCAGCAACAGGAGGTAACAAGACCCAGCTCCTCTCCCGGGGTCATCCCTCATGGGTAACCTCCTGCATGGGATTGCCATCCTCCATCACCATGCCGGCATCTCAGCTCCTCTGGCCAATAGGGAAACCCTGGGGGACAGGGTGCACACACCTCTCCCCCCTTCCTCCCCCCCATTTTTAGCCCCAGAAAGCCCCCCTCCACCTGCAGCCAGGCAGGCTGGGTGCAGGGAGCATGAGGGTCCTGCACAGCACATCCTCAGCTCTGTGCAGGTTAAGAATGACCATCTTCCTAGGCTAAAAGCTGAATTCTCAAAATGCCTAAAAAAACCCCTGCCAAACAAACAACATAAAACAAGTGAGCATCGTTAAACCAAACCTCTCCCAGCCCTCCCAGGTCCTGCACCACAACTGAATCCCCGTCCACCTTCCCAGCCTCAGCCATATACCCCCAACACCGTCCACCTTGCAGCTCTGCATTGATTCTGCTTCTGCATCCCAAAGTCAGGGTTTGGTCCTCGATAAATACGAGTCAAAAAAAATCCCCGCCCCCAGCCCTCAGGTCTGGCAGCAAACACCAGGAACAAACTGCAGAGCACCGAAATCAAATGTTTATGTTGATATTTATTACAGCATGGGGAGGGGGGAGAAGGGGGGAGAACCATTCCATTCAAAAAACCATCCCATACCAATGAAGACAATAATTTAGCTATTCATTTTAAAATACATTAAAACCGGTCCTTTCATTTCCTCATGTCAGAACGGGAAAAAAAAAAAAATAAAAAAAAGGGAAAAAACCCCAAGATGGAAATTGGAAAAGGAAAAAAAGTAGACCCCTCAGGGAACCCCCCGAGTATATTTGCGATACACCAAATCTGCATTCAGTTATTTCTCAGCATTACTTGGAAAATATTAACCTGAATGTAAAGCACAATTAAAATGCCTAGGAAAAAGAAGGCAAACATTTAAAAAAAAAATTGTATTACACACTAAAAAAAAAAAGTTTTGTCATCTCATGTCTTGCAGTCAGAGTAATAAAAACAAGCCAAATGTTCCCCAAAAACATTTCAATGAAGGGGTGCGGAAAAAAGACATCCCTTTAATAAAACATTATCAACAAATATCGTACACAAACTACAATGTATAATAATTACTTTTTTTTTCCCCCTCTCGGTAATTTTCGAACCAGACTACAAGGTAAGAAAAAACACTGAAACAAGATACAATGCTTTCAATAATCCGCACAAAGGTCAAATCCAAGGGAGAGAATATTTTACAGAATATGATATACATGGAGCAGAAATGGGAGCTGGAGAAAAACAAAGACCAAACTACAGGGTAGTGTCATGTACAGAGATCCCAACCCACCGCCTTGGCTCGTCCCTTCCTCTCCTGCCAGAAGGAAGGGCCTTCGATGCTTGCCATTAATTTTTATTTTCTTATTACAGAGCGAGCCTACAGAATAGCAAGGTTACATTTTAACAACAAGAAATCCTTAAAAAATATCTCCATCCAGTTCCAAATCATAGATAAGTGAAACCCTGACAAGAGCACATCTCTAAAGAAAAGACACCCCACCCCACCCCACCCCCAAGTACCCCCAAAGCAAATAAAACCCCCTAAAAACCCCAAAGTTAGCTGGAGATCACAGTTTCAAAGTCCCAGGTCAGATTAACCCTTCCTTTCGGTGGATTAAAAAAAAATAAAAAAATTAAAAAATCAATTTTTGCAGTGAACCAGCTGAAGGACTCTGGGGAAGGGAGGGACAGAGATTTCTTCTTGTACTCAGAGAGGGGGGGAAAGACTAACACAGTGCATGCCACAGTCACAGAGAGCAAGATCACGATTCATTCGAGGATGTGATCCTAGAAGGGGTCACCTGCGTTAACAAGTTTATAACGAGGTGGTGGAGTCTCTTCCCCAAAGCAGATCTTGTTAACTGGAGGAGGAAGCGTTGTGCTGCAAACGAACCAAAAAAACCCCCAAAAATAGAAGGGAAAAAAAAAAACCCAAAACCAAAAAAAACAGGCCTTCCGAACGAAAACCACCATTGTAAACTGTCCAGTTTATTTAAAAAAATGACTACAACAGAGACAACATGAGATTTCATATCTAGACTAGCTTCCTGGTGTCGCACGGCACAAACATACAACAGGTTCGGTTTCTGTCTTTATTTAAAAGAACAAAGCAAAGAGATCGGAGTTGGGTGCTAGAGGCTTCCGTTTGTTTCCAAAAAGAAGTGTCATGTACATATATAAACCCTTCCGCACAAAGAAGGGTCTTGTCATGTCTTGAAATATTTTAAGTTTTGTCCTTCATGTTTTATGGAATAAAAAGTTCAGCCTTTTTATTGCATGAAACTAAACCTGGGGTTTTGGCCCCCGCCACGCGTCTCCCTGCCCATACACCTAGCTTCTTCTTCTTCTTGCATAATTCGTTGAGATCCTCCGAACGGCAGCTGACTCTCTTGATCCTGGAGAGGAGGAGGGGGAGGGAAATCACACACTCATCGTCATGCTGGGGGAATACTGGAAGAGAGACAGAGCCAGGGTGAGAAACCAGGTGGGCCAGACCCCCAGACACCAGAGGGGGATGCAAAAGGAGGCTGATGACAGCTATACAGCAACCTAATTGGATCTAATAAATCAGGAGGAGAGGATACGCTGGAGACTCGAATTTATCAGGGCGTAATCTGCTCTGTAACTTGCTTTTCCAGGGAGAAAATCAGCAGAACAGTATGGGGTGAGATGCAATTTAAAACAAATAATTAACATGCACGCGCGTATATGCTGCTAATAGCGGAAGAGGAGGGACGTCTGCAGCCACCCACAGCGCCTTGAATCACCGAGGCCAGCACAGCTGGCTGCATCCGTGCCAGCTCCTCTCCATCCCGTGGGAACCTCTCCATCCCGCGGGATCCTCTCCCCTCCCTCAGTACACCCCTGTCCCGCCAAGGACCCAAGCTTGCACCCACCAGCATATTCTTTCCTCCCCACTTTCTGTCCTGGAGCAGCTCACACACAGCACAACCCAGGCCCAAAAGGCACCCACCGCCATGCCCACCCGCCCCTGTGCCGGGACGCCCTAGGGACCGTCTCCCTGTCCCCAGGGAGGCACTCACTCACATTGTCATTTTGGAAGGAATGGAGAAAGTTGCCTCCCAGCTCCCCGTCGTCTCTTGGAGTGCCCGGGGGATTGCTAATGCCACTTATGTTGTTTGGAGAATTCTGCAGGAGATGAGGGGGGAGGCGATGAGGTCCCTGCACCCCCACAAAAACACCATGGGGGCAGAACACAGCCCCGCCTGCCCCAGTCACATCCCCTCGACATGTCCCCATCCATTGGGGTCACACCAGCACCCCAGTGCCGAGAAGGGGGGGCCCACACACCCGCTCTGCAACTCACTTACTTTTGGAAGTCCATCTATGTCTCCTGACCCTGCACAGGGGGGACACAAAAGGAGAAGAGCCTTACTGAGCATGCAGGCATGGCCCCCATGCCCCCCTGCCCTGTTCCCCCCCAGACCCTGCTTCTGATCTCCAGCCAAAGGCTCTGCTTTGAGCACTGGTCTGACTTGGGGGCTTACCCCAGGACGGGAGCAGGCACTGGGAAGCTCTGCCAGCGTCCCCAGGGAGCTCCCCAAGCTGCAGCCCCCCGTGCAGGTACTCACCTAATGATCCGTTCATGTGATGGGGCTCCATGCCGCCCATGCCGCCCATGGGGCCGTCAGAGCCGGGGCCCATCGGGAACTGTGGAAAAAAAAGGCAACAAAACCAAAATCAGCCACAAAACCAACCTGCATGTCTGCCATGGCCCTGGCAGCTCCTGGGGACCATCCGCTCCCCAGCCATCCCTCCGGAGCAGGGGGAGAGGAGGGATGCATCCAGCCCTAAGGCTGTGGGGCACGTCGCGGGGCTCGTGGTCCTGTGGGTTCACCTATAAAATTTGGCCGGATGGGTGTGGGCAGACCCAGACCCATGGCAGCACAGAGGGCTCCCTCCAACCAGCATTTAACGAGATTTAAGTCGGCCCATATCCTGCAAAACACAGCATCTCGCTGGGCACGCAGCTGCCACCACCTCAGCCAGAGCAGCAGGACCGCCACTCTCTTAATAAGCATAAAAAATTAACAAAGTCACTGAAGAGTTAATCGCTTTTTGATGGTTTGGTTTATTTCTGTTTTGTAACAAATGTCTGAAATCAATTAAACTGCTTTACTCTCAACTGATGAAGTTAATTATGATTTGTTATGGTATCTGATATGTAAATTATTAGAAAGCAGACTTACATTCGATCGACTGCCTGCGGGCGGTACTGGATTAATCATTGTGTAGATGTTGTCACTTGAATTTGTTGAATCTGTGGAACAGTGAAGCCCAATAAGTCGGGTGATTAATTCATTTCTTAATTAAAACAAACTCATGCCACTTGAACTCATTCTTTTGTATTTTATCACCTAAAATTCCCTCTAAGTACCACCATTTTCTGGCTAATTTGTATTTAATGAAGATCCACAAAGTTTTTAATCACAGAAATTCAACTGTGAAAAAGAATTCAACTCCTGGATGGGAAGTGCGGGGAGGCAATTCCCTGCCATGTAGTGCTCCTCACCTCCCCACCTCCCCGAGCCCCGCAGCATCCAAATCTGTCGGGGGATATAGGAACATCCCCAAATGCCATCCCACCGCTTGCTCCCCGGAAAGGCAAAAGCTGCATAAATTGGTTATCACTGGTTGGGCAGGAGTTGCCTGTGCTTGGTGGTGCAGCCCCAGGGATGGGGGTCTGCTGGCAGGGGAAGGGGCAGGAGCCTGGGAGGGCTGGCCCCGGAGATGGGGGGGTCTCAGGGGGCTCATACCTGCGGGACTGGGCATGATGGGTGTCCCTGGAGGACCGCCGCCGCCAGGCGGACCCTGCGGAGAGACAAAGTGGGGGTCAGCCACGCAAACACGAGCATCGCCCACCTCCCCGCGTTTTCAAATGCGGTGCTGGACCTGGCACCCCCAAACCCAGCCTGGCTTTCCCCATGGCACCGACTCCCTGCCAAACCACAGGAGCTCCCTGAGCCATAACATCTCTGCACCCCAACAACAGGATGGACAGATGGAGCATACTCACCACGTATGTACCAGGCGATGAAGAAGAGTATGGGATCTATAGAGAGAAGAGATCCAGGTTCAGCTGCAGGGTACGTGGAGGCTCCCCTGGGCTGGTCCCCAGCAGGGCACAGCTGAGAGTCCCCCCTGCCCCCCCAACCCAGCCAGGATCAGGGTCCCAGGGCCCACCAGCCCCCACGGCTGTACCCCGCCGCAGGGAGAGCAGCAGGGCTCCGGCTTCAGATGCAGCACCTAAACAAGAGGCTGGGGAACCCCCTCTCGTTAGCAGGAGTCAGCTAATGGGGAATTGCCTCATTTGCGGGATGATCCCCACCCAGCCCCGCTCTTGCTTCAGGGACCGTGGGATACTCACTGAGTTAGCACTGCTGGGGTTCGGCCACGGTCTGCCGGCTCCCGGACCCCTGGGGTCAAAATTAAACAGGAAAAAAAAAAAAGGTGTGTTTTTATCTGTACAGTCCCGCAAAGCCCGAGCTGGCAGCCAAACATCCCCAGCATGGGGTTTGCCTTACATGTTAATTCCAGGCATGCCGGGACCTAGGGAATTGGGTGGAGGTCTCATGCCACTGCCGTAGTTCTGCAACGATAACCAAGGGTCAGTCTACCGTACCGGGAAGGGAAAACAGAGGAGACAAGACAAGTGGAAAAAACCTCAACAAACAAAGAATCAAGAGGATTAGTTTGCTAAAATGAGCATTAAACCAAAAATATTAGATGATGATGAACATAGAGGCAATTAGCAATTGTGTTTATAAAAAAACCCAGGCAGCTGAGTACGGAAGGGAGCCAGGCTGAGCCCCAAAGTCCTCCCTGGTCTCTGATGCCATGCTGGTGGAGGGAAAACAGCCCCCTCCCAGCTCCAGGAGACAAATCTGCCCGCAGCCCCCAAGTGCCAACAACAGCCTTTTGGGTTTGTCTTTTTGTGCAGGAGAAAACATGGGCAGGAGGAGGAAAGTGGCGTCGCTTGGAAGGTTACTGCTGCAGCGTGAGGTCGGGAAAAGGCTGCGCGAGCTCCCCCCGAGATCAGCATCCCCTGCTCCCAGGATGAGGGCTGGAGTAGGGAAAACCAAGCCAGGCTTGTTTTCCCGTTGCTTCCCAGCTGTCTGCTACATCCCCCAGAGTGGGTCTGCAGCTGCGGGTAGCGGGACAGGGCAGTCAGCCCCTTGGGGCTCTTCTCCTGGCTTATTCCACCCCAGCTTAGCCTCCAGCTGGGACCCAGAGCCTCAGATCTGTGTCCCTCATCTCCTAAAACCAGCTCTAGTACAAAGCCAAGCCCAAGGCAGCAAAGGAAGAGGAATCCCCTGAATGCCACGCTCCATTCGGTCTGTGCTTTGCTCCCTGTGCCCTCCGGGTGACGTGCAGCCGGATTTAGGTCGCGCTGCCGCTCCTCCCCTCCCACCTCCCCCCGGTGATGCATCTTTTTGGGCTGTATTTCTGCTATTTACAGAAAAAAATTGCAAGGGCAGGAGGGGGGATGGCTGGCCGCTTCTTATTTCGCAGCCCCTCGGAGTGCTTGAAGCTGGATTTTAAGTGCAATAGTTCAGTGCTGTCAATTTTTCCCTGGATTTATGGATGTACTGGAGCACAGTGCTCTGCTGAGGGCATCGCCAAAGTTTGTTTTGAAGAGGCAGAAAAGGGTTTTCCCCAAACAAATTACCAGCAAGTCCTTAATTGATTGAAATTCCAGCCATTTACACTGAATAGCAGCATCAAACCCCTTGTTTAAAAAAAAAAAAAAAAAGCTCAGCGTTTTTAATTGGAGCTGAAAGGCTGGAAAACGAAGCCATCTGAAAGATGCTCAGGGAGGGTGGGGAGGGAACGCAGCTGTGCCGAGCGACCTGGATGCCGGGCTCTGGCAAGACACCGCCAAAACCTAGCGAGCGAGCTACAAACACTCTTCACGGGGGCACCGGCAAACCTAATCCTGGCTTCTGCAGAGCTAAGGCCGCGACTATTAAAGGGAAAAAGGCAGCAGCGATCAGCTGTATGGGATGATTCATTGTCGGTGCGTAATAAGTAGCTGTTGTCAGGATGCCGGGAAGTCCTGGCTGGATGCTCCGCAGCCCTTTGGAGTCATTTAAGGAGTATTTGGGAAGGTCCTGATGCAAAGCTTAAAGCAATAAATTCCTGGGCACACAAGGTGTGAGGGGCTGCCGGGTTTGGTTCGGTATTTTTGGCAGTTGCCTGTGCTCGTTCCTGGATGGCTGCGGGGAGGCAGCACCCTGTGGGTGCCAGATTGGGAAGCCCAGCACTTCCCCAGGGGAAGGCTGCCTTTTAAAAAGCCTCTCCCTAATGTACGTACACAGGGAACGGCAGAGTCAAAAATAAAGCCCTGAACATTTCACAACTCCTGCCGGCTCCCAGCGCTGCCGCCATCCCACGCGGTGCTGAACGCGCGCTTGCGGCTTCCAAGTTTCGCGGCGAGCCTTGCAAGTGGGAAGCGAGCAGCCTCCCCCAGGCAAACCGCCGCCGCTCTCCTTGGCGCAGGCCACGCTAACAAATGCCATTTTTTTTTTTGTGTGCAATCCTCCAGGAAAGGAGGATTTTAAGCAGAGCAGCAGCACTCAAAGCATCCCTGGCTTGGCTATTGGAGGGTCTGTCTGTGAAACGACGCTCGTGTGGGTTTTTTATCCCGTGCCCTAGGATGGATCTGGGTGCTTGTGGAGACGGCCGGGCATCCTTGAGCAGCATCCTCAGGCTGGTGTTAAAAAGAGATGACACAACTCCCTCTTTACACAATATTCGCTTATCTCAACAGTCTCCGGGGGAAAAACAAAACAAAACTCCAGCGCACCCGCTCGTCTCTTGACAGACTCTGATCCTCGCGCTACAAACTCGATGTAGGCGACGATGCAGAGAGGATAAACCTCCAACCAAAATATGATAATCTGGTTTTGAAGTCTCGTAGAAGGAACAAACAGGAGTGAGTCAACAACAAGCCACTCCATAAAGTGAATCAATGGGAAGACAGCATATATTAACCCAGATCCGCTTAATTTCACGAGTTTGCTCCCCTCTCCTGAACTAGAAGCTCAAGCAGGCAGCAGGAAGGGCAAGCGGATGGGAACCTCGCAGAGGAAAGCCTTATTCCCCTGCTAAAGGGATCTTTGCCATTTCTTTTTATTTATTTATTTTTAATGCGAGCCTCCCCTTTCCCTTTCCTGCCGTTAGGGTCGTAACTATTTCCCAGGAAGGCAGTGTAATGCACTCAAAGGCCGCTCCAGCGCGGCACTAAGTGCCATCCCCTTTGACGGAAGGGCAGGAGGGAGGTTGCAATACCCTTAATGAGCTCTGAAGACCTCACTCATGTTAAAAGGAGGGATTTCCAGATGCAAGACTAATGTAAAAAGCATTAACACTAATGGGGGTACAGGGTGTGTGAGGGGGGGAACTCCCAGTGTTTTTGAGCCCCAGGAGGTTGTTTCGATGGTACGTGGCGTTTGCCAAGCTGTAAGATGCTCTTTGGCGTGGGGCTTACCTGTGGACCGGGACCCATGGGGCCCATCCCTCGCGGAGGATTCATCCTTTGCATGGGGCCGCCCATGTTAGGGTGCCCTGTTGGGAGGAAAGCAGGGGCGTTACATGGCACAGCAGCCACTTTGGGCCCCAGATTAATGGCTAACAAGAAACATTAATGTTCAACCTTCCTCCGCTGGGTTTACCTTGCTGTCGCGTGGGATCCATCGAATTGGGCAGCAACGGCTGTGTACCGGGAACAGCGCCTGGGGGCTGTGAAAACAAGGGGACGGAGATTAAAAAAAATAATTAATTGCTAAAACACAGCCTAGAGAGACAGATTTGGGTTGAGGCTTTTCAAGAGGCTCCTTGGTGTGCTCCCCGGGATGCACCACCCCCAAGCTTCCCGGATCCCGCTGCATCCCGCATCCTGAGCATCCTCCTACAGCCTCCAGGCGTTTGCCTCCCCTTTCCTTTTGCAAATAACCTCTAAAAACCAAACAAGGCGCCAGCGTTTACTTCTCTCCCCACAGCCCGCATGCCATCAGGCTGCTGTATTTTGGGGGAGTGGAGGAAAGCCCGGGCTGCACAGGGCAGAGGCGTTAAAGCCAGCAGGGAACAGAGGTGGGCAGCGCAGCTCGCCGATACCAACATAGAGCCAGGGCCAAGCCGTACAGGTTGCAGCGATTTGTCGGCTGCCGACGGGGAGATGCTCCATCTGCAGCAGACCAGCGTTCAGACCCATCTCCACACAGGCAGGAGGGGAAGGCGGATGCTCCCCCCTCCCCAAACCCCGCTCTGCTCAGGCAACTGTGGCTATTTAAAGTTCAAAGGCTGCTCCGAACAGATAAAGGGGGAGAAAAATGCAGATACCATCTGCCTGGGGGAAGCAAACTGTAAACAGTTTTGCTACAGCGCTGGCTTTTATTTGAACACTGACACAGACGGATCCCACTGCTAGAGCACAGCATAGGCACCGGGTGTGCACGGCCGCGCTGAGGCAGAACCTGCCCAGTCCGAATTTTTTTGCAGCTTGGAAGCTGGCAGCAGGAGGAAGATAGACCAGGCAGGTTGTAGCGATGGATATTTACACTTCTGCTGCCTGCCCTTCCCGCCTGCCTATTTATTCGTCCTGTCCCTCTGGGTGTGACCATAACCTCGCCGTGTTCTCGGTAGGTACAAACCTGTGTTCTACACGTGGTGTTTGGGGGAAAAAAATTAAATCTTTCTAATTAACTTTAGGAGTGGGTCCTGAATGCTCGACCCCTTTGGAACAGCAGCCACCCCAAGCTGGTCCCCTGCCTCTCCTGCCTGCCCCAGCTCACCGTGCTTACCTCCAGCGGCACTCGGGACCAGCCTGGGGACCACAGCAGGATGGGGCTCATTAAAACTGTCCCATGAGAAGGTTCTGTTAATCAATACCTCACTAAACCAGCCACCAGTGGCTGGGAGGCTCTTCCAGCCCCGCAGCTGCCTCACCATCGTTTTGCAAGTTCCAGCAATTCAAGCCTCAGATCCAGCAAGCACAAACACGAAGCAAGCTGCTACATCCTATTTCCTGACTTTTCTGCTCTTTCTGCTAATAAGAGCTACTTAAAAATAATATTGGTACCCAAAAAACAAGCTCCCAAGACAATTTGTGCACAGTCACCTTTGCTACTCAAAGGAATTATAGGTTTCCTTTAGTTTTCCTTTAATGACAAGCAACCCCTGGTTCAGTCATTACCCTATGGATGCGCACGGCATCGTTGGGAACGAGATGAATTCCTCAACCAAAGGCCACGCGTTCAGGCAACGCGTGGGGTGGAAGCCTCCGTCCGTAAGGCCAGAAACAAACTGCCCTTGTTTAAGCTGGGATAAGAGGATAAACCCAACCCAAAAAATTCAGCAGTGACCTGCCCTGCTTGACCCCACCGCTGATCTAAGCGCTTGGTCAACCCAGCAGCAGGATTATCTCCATCGCTTTAATTTTCTGTGATTGCAGGGAAAATCCAGCCGGGCAGCGAGCCTGCGGCACGGCACAGCTGTGCTGCAAACACCACATATAAAAAAGTGGCACATGCCCCACTGCCGTTTGCACCCTGGATATGCCCAAACCTCAAAAAAGAAATTAAAATAACATGGTTGTGTGACACTTGATGCTCCAGCACCATGAAACTGGAGGATGCCCAAGGGAGGCGAGGCCTCCCATCCAAACCCAAGGAGCACCTGCAGGACACCTGGTCCTCGTCCCCCTCCCCACATAAAAGCCATCCCCAGGAGACATGCCGGTGCGGAGCCCGGGAGCGCAGTACCTGGTTGCCCATCCTGATGGGGGGCCGGGGACCTCCGGCGTAGCGCGGCGACATGAACGGCTGCGGGGACACAAAAGGGAGGTCAGGGCCGAGCTGCGGGGAGGCAGCACGCTCCCCACGCACGCCGGTTAGACTGTACACACTGTTTTTGGTTTTGTTTTTCTGGAGACATCCTTTTTAAAAAAGTTAAGTTTCAAAAGAAAAAAAAAAAAAAAAGGAGTCCGGAGTCCATTTTTTTAACATTTTCTCTGTAGATTTACTGTTCAAGAGCGTATGACATCAGCAGTACTAGGTGAGGCTGTTAAATTTAGTGCATGGGAAACCCTGAGTGTTAGATACTGTTCAAGTTTAAATACATAGAGATATATTAAAAAAAGTGGCAAATAAGCACATACAGACACGCACACACAAAAAAAACCCCCAATGCTAAGTACTGAAAAAAAAAGAAGAAAGACTTAAAGTTACTTTTTTTACAACTGCTGCTACTAACAGAAGCTTAAAAACCCACATCAAGTTAAATTTCTCAGGCTACCTTGGGAAGGTAAAATAAGTCTGATACCCACGATTGACTTCTTAGTCCATTGACAACTGCACATCCAAAAAAAAAAGAAAAAAAATGGGAAAAAAACAGTATTTCGCTTCAGAGCTGGGGTGCCCGGGGGGATGCTCCCCGGGGGAGCGGGTACCCGCTGCCCAGCATGCTTATAGAGGGGGAAAAAAAAAAAAGAAAAAGCAAATCGAGCGCACGTCCCGGTTCACAGCCCTACCCATCGCTAGTGTCTTTACCTGACTGTGGGGTCCCATCATGCTGTTAGGATTGTGGGGTGGAGGCTGTGCGTGTGGCGAGGGCTGTGACCCAGGCGGTCCCTGTGAGGTCAGACAGTAGAAGGAGGTTATAGATTAGCACATGAAAGCGCAGAAAGAGCTAAAAAAAGGATTGACGGGTGGACCTGTTTTGTTGGGGAGTCAGTTCTCCCGTTGTAAATTTTTTTTTCTTTTTTTTTTTCTCCTCTTTTTAATTGAGTTTCTATTCATTTGTAGCTGAACAATGAATAATGATATATGCAAAAAAAAAAATTAAAAATCAGAACATCTGTCAAAATACAGCAGCCACATTGACGATAAATGGTCTGGTAGTTCAACAAAGTCTGCAATGATAAACACACAGGGAAACACTTTGCAAGGGTGTGCAACAAGGAAGAAAAAATATGCAGGAGAGGACCAGAGCGGTTGGGGGAAATAAAAAAAACACCCCTGAACCAAAAAAAAAAAGAATTTTTTCCTCTCTCATCCCAAAGGTTGGAAACACCTCTGGGTTTTTTTTATTTTGACCATGGTTCACTGGAGGTGCTGGAGCGAGTGCAGAGGACGAGGAGCACGTCCCAGCTCACGCCTGGGCAGCATTTGGCCGGCACAACCGGGGCTGCATCGCCAGAGTGTACGGATGCAACATCTTTCCTCGAGGTGGATTCCCTAAGGATGCGAGTAAAATGGCTTGCGAGCAAAGAAAGGATGTCTAGGGGAAAAAAGGAGAGATTAGTTGGTGCAGGTTTAAGGCTGCAATGCAGCAGCTGCTGACATTTTGGGCTTGAACGCCCACTTTTTTTTTTTTTTTAAATTTCCCTTAAAAGCACAAAATGAAAATTTGCTTGGAAAAACCGCGAGCTCAGTGCAAGAATATACCGGTGCGTGTTAATGTAAGGAAAAAAAAAAGTGTTTTTTGAGTCAAAGGAGGTATAATTGGTAGAGAAAGCAAACGAGCTTTGTCAGTAGGTGATGGGAAGCGACGGCAGGCTCCAGGACCAGCGCCGGAGCAGATGTTCTCTACCTGCCTCGTTACTAATTTCAACAAGTGTTCGCCTTCTAGCTGCTGCCAGCAATGGCATGGTTTGTTACCATGAGCAATTTTCTTAATTAACAGACATTAATTAGCCATTTAGCAATTTTGCAAGCATTTGTTTAGCAGCTTTCCTAAACATGAATACCACTGTGATAATGGTACTGATTAGAGGGTCCCCTAATTAACAGTACAGGGAAGGAAAATTGAAATCACATAAATTAAAAAGGGAGGGGAAGTTAATGAAGGCAGGACATATTTGCACCTGCAAATCTTTTGTACAGCGGAAACTTGAGTGCAATGTAAATAAAGTAAGAGGGTGGGTTTTTTTCCTCTTTTTTTTTTTTTTTTTTTTATTTGAACGGTTCATCGGCGAGATGGAGCCAAGCGGATTTAAACCAACAGCCTCCTACCAGCCTCCCCGCTCCAGCCGCTGTGCCCAGGGAAATAAAGTCCAACCATTTACACCACCGTTTATTCTCCAGGAGCCAAAGGCAACCAGCCCCTGCACCTCCTGCCCAGCGAACCTTGGCTGGAAGAGGTCACAGTATCTCAGGACAACCCTCCCGGTGCCAATGCAACTGCCTTCTCCATCCATGTCCCACCACAGTGGAGAAGACAAGCCTCTGTGGTTCAACTGTAGCATCAACCACCTTTAGCAGAAGTCATCTCCATGCACAAAACTTGACATATTTTTGCTTCTGAGGTGGCTAACTCTGTCTGTATGAATGCAAACAGCACCAGGGGCATCAGCTACCTCCCACCACCGGTTCATGGAGGACGACACCCCTCAACGAGGTCTGGCCATATCACCGCTGCAGGATTTGGGGTAGGGAAGGTTGGCAAAGGTGAACGAGGGATGAAACCAAGTAGAAAGGACAAACCAGGACTCGCGGAGGCCAACCCTCAAGTCCCATCAGCGCAAGAGCCAACAGGTCCTCCACAACACCTGCCTTGCTGTGCCACAAGGAAGAAGTCGTTATTACCCAGGTACTGACTGTACAGGCACGCAGACCCCATCCTCAAGTTATTAAACCCCTGATTAAACCCACCCCTGATGTGCTCCCTCTCATATCCCCCAGCATGTAAGGGCATGGGGTTTACAGGTATCAAATGCATGGGGGATATGGCCACCTACATGCACCCTGGCTGGGCCCAGGGGTAAGGCTTTGAGGCTGCATTTAAAGTCTTCAGAGCAAGCAGCGTTTCGTTATCGTAGGAAAAGCATCTATAAGAGACACAGTGGCATTTTCACTGGAGAAAATTCCCCCATGGCAATCTGACCCGGCCAGCATCAGTTGTTTGTGCTGCTGAAATGCTTCCCCTGGAGCATGGTCCTGCCCTGCCACCCCAAGGCTGCTCCCTGGGATGCTCCAGGCTCAGTGCCACACTTTGCCGGCCAGCAACCAGCATCCTTGCTGTCGTGTTATCGCACATGGTACCACTCCTGGTGGAGACTTCTGGATAACATGACTGCAGACGCCCAGCTCATGCAAACTCTTGGCAGGCAGGGAAGAGCTGAAAGGGACTTTTTACTTTATTTTTTTCCCATTCTTTTCTTCTTTTTCACAACAGCAACGAGCAACAGCATCTGAAATGCTTGCTCTGGGCTGCAACCGCCGCAGCCCCCTCCCGCGCCCCCGCAGCACGGCCGCGCTGCTCTGTCAGAAACGCAGACCCTCTGGATATTGTTATCTCTGTAAATATTTGCAGATGTTTCAGGGCTGGGACCTGCGTTCGGCTGGGAACGCCTGCCGGATCGGTTGCTTTTTCGCATGGGTTTCCCTCGCTGTGGAGGAAGCGGCAGATGATCCCGATGGATCACGGCGGTTGAGACAAGTGTTTTGCAGAGATGACATGTTGGCTCCGACCAACAGAACAACCCTTTTTTCTTAAAAAATGTGCATTTAGCAGTTATTAACTAGCACTGTTACAAGAGGAGGCTGAACACACACACAGCCCTGCTGCTTCCTCCGCACCACCTCCCTCCAGATCCCAAATGCCCAAGCGCCGCATCCCCTCAGCAGAGCTCCATCCCGCTCTGCTGGGCAAGCAGGACCTGCTCTGCAGTTAATTCACTCTCATCTCAAGACCAGCACTCTCCCCAACCAAAGAAACCCCATCATCTCTTGAGTTCTCTTTTTTTTCTTCCTCCCCCCCAAACTGGATGCCTTGCATGGGGGGCTACTCTTTACCTTCCTGTAGCTGTCTCAGAAAAACCCCAAACAACCCCAAACAGATAAAATGGCATTAGAGGAAACTGTTTCCGGCAGCTCTTGTTGCCTCAACCTCCTCTCTGCTTTATTCCCCCCCGCCCCTACACTACGGGGACTTTAAAAGCCCAATCTGGCCCACCAGACAAGCAAAGTTTGCTGCTGTTGCTGCTTTCTAAAGGGAGTTTCCAGGCGATCAGGTTATTCCCACTCCATCTCTCATGAGCTCGACTCCTCAAACTTCTTGTAAAATATTAAAGATGGAAAATGGCACAAGCAATCATAGCTCTGCGTGTGTCAATTTATGTTTCCAGAGTAATTCACCACAAATGGATCATGTTTTATGGGCTACATACTTTCAGCTAATGGGGGAGTTTTGCTATTTAAAAACATTTTCAAGCACTTCTGGGGGTGGCAGAACAACGCAGGATGGTATGAGAAGGCAAAGCATCGCTGCCACAAGATACCGACAATTTAGAGTTAGCAATGGGAAGGCATCTTGTGTTTTAAAATACCTGCCCCTGCCTACTGGTTTGGACATTAGAAAATAATAAAATAAATTAGATAGGTATTAATTAAAGGCGTGCCTGGG